ACTCCTATAAATCTATCCAACAGAAATACAAGCACAAGCTACTAAGGATGTATCTGCATGGTTGTTCATTACAGCATTGTTAATAATTGACAAAATTTGGAAAATTTCTAAATGTCCCCCATAGAGGAATATTTAAATTATATGTCATATTTAGAAATATGTCTATACTGATATGGAAGATATAAGTAATGTATTTGTAAAAGAAAAAATGATGCAGAATGAGAAAAGGTACAGAACAAAATGTATTGCTTGCCATTTTTATAAAGATAAAATCCTACGCACATATGGGCATGCATACATGTTTAGGTCTGGAAGGAGACAACTCCATTACTAGTGACAGTAGCTGGGCAGTGGAATTGGGGGATGAGAGAATACGCCACCTTCTACTTTTTTTCATTCTAAATAGCTTATATTTTTATTATAATCTTTTATTGCTTTTATAATTAAAAATAATTTACATAAAGAAAATAGAAAAACTAACAACTTGATACATCTTTAAACCTGAGCAAATAGAACTCATTTGACAAATGTGTTTTCAACAAAAGAACCCTTACTTATTCTGGCCTGTGCTCCTGTGACCAGATTGGCCAAGACTTGAATAGAAGCTCACAAAATATGACCAGAGATCGTACAGAACACCTCTCTTTTTCCCCCCTTTCAGTTCTCAAATTTTTTTCCTCCTTCCTGCCCCTGACACCTTCTCCTCATATCCTGCTCTACCCAATCTCTAACCAATTTCAGAAAGCTCTGAATATATGCTGAAGTCTTGGACCAGACTTTTAACTGACTGAACTCTCACTTGTTCTGTTTATTAGTCTAATCTGTTCTTTCTTTTAATGTTTTCTTTGAGTCATTTTGCATACTTAAGAAGGATATTTTAAAGTATATATTTATTCTATTCTTCATTTTTTAACCCTCTCTTTACTTTCATTTTTTTCCCTTGTAATTTGATATTGTCCTCCACTTCCTAACTTCAAAACATTATAAGCCACAGTATTCTGAACAGCATGGTATTGTTATAAATACAGACTTATAAACCAATGGAACAGGATATAAATCTATACATATATGGTCAAATGATCTTCAACAAGGGTACCAAGACTACAGAATGTTCCAGGAAGACATTATCTTTTCAACAAGTGGTGTTGGGAAAACTACATAAACATGTGCAAAAAAATGAAATTGGACCCTTATCTTACAGCATAAACAAAAGTCAATTCAAAATGGATTATTGACTTAAATATGAGATCGGAAACTATAAAATACCTAGAAGAAATCAAGGGAGAAAAAGCTTCATAACATTAGTCTTAGCAATTATTTCCTGGATATGACACCAAGGCCCAGGCAACAAAAGCAAAAGTTGACAAGTGTGCCTGTAACAAACTAAAAAGCTTCTGCATAGCAAAGAAAACAGTCAACAGAGTGAAAAGGCAACCTATGAAATGAGAGAAAATATTTTCAACTATATTATGGTGAGGTTGGTCATATCCCCAAATATGTAAGGAACTCCTACAACTCATTAAAAACAAACAAAAAACTCAATTTAAAAATGTGCTAAGAACTTGAATAGACTTTTCTCCAAAGAAGACATACTGATGGGCAAGAGGTATATGAAAATACGCTCAGCATCACTAATTAATTATCAGGGAAATGCAAATCAAAACCAAATATCACCTCGTACCTTTTAGGTGGCTGTTATCAGAATCAAAAACAAAAACAAAAGTTGGTGAAGATGTGGAGAAGTTGGAACTCTTATACATTGATGGTGCAAATGTAGAATGGTGCAACCACTATGAAAAACAGAATGGAGGGCCCACAAAAAATTAAAAATAGAACTACCACATTATCCAGCAACCCCATTTCTGGGTATATATCTAAAAGAATCAAAAACAGGATCTCCAAGAGATATTTGCACTCCCGTGTTCATTGCAGCATTATTCACAATAGCCAAGAAGTAGAAATAACCTAAATGTTCATCGACAAATGAATGGATAAAGACGATGTGATGTGTATGTGTATATATACACAATGGAACATTTTTCAGCCTTAAGATGGAAAATCTGTCGCATGCTACAGGATGGATGAACCTTGAGGACGTTGTACAAGTGAAATTAGCCAATCACAGAAAGACAAATACAGCATGATTCCACTTATACGAGGTGTCTAAAGTAGTGAAATTCATAGAAGCAGAAAGCTGCCAGGGGCTGAGGGGGAGAAGGAAACAGGGGATAGCTATTCAGTGGCCTCGAGTTTCCATTGTGTGGCATGAAAAATTCTAGAGATCTGTTGAACAGCAATGTGCATATAGTTAAAAAACTGCACTGTAAATTTAAAAATGTGTTAGTAGGGTAGGTTTCATGTTATTTTTCTAGTCTATGGGGATAAAAGAAACCAAGAGAGCTTAGGACATATATCCATTCAGTGTCCACTGTGTTCCTACCACTTTAACGATTTTTGAGAAACCTGGTATTATTTCACAATTGGAAAAAGACTACATGGAAACTTAAAAGTGTATTTTGAAAGTCTAGTCAGAGGTATACAGAGAATTTGACACAAAGAGAAAAGAGAATACAAATGCTTTGACTTAACAACTGTTTACTCCCCATCCCCCTTTTTAGGATACGGTACCACATTTCAAAAAACTCTTATTGTTTTAGTGGAGTTATAGGTTCAAGCATCCTCTTTCCAAATACCTGCTGTGCCAAGTCATTAGACAAAATTGCAAGGATGGCTAACTGTGGTGACATTTTTTCCACAGTTTAGCAGTGGTTGAACAGTGAAGTGGGGGTAGATTTGCTTGTTTTTCCCACTGACGGCCAATCTCAATCTCAGTCCCTCTCCCTCAGTTCTCCTGTGGTGGCTCTCTTGCCTTCTTTTAATTAGCTATTAGAAAAACTAGCATTTGAACCTTGTCTTTTTCATGAGTAGAACGTGTTACCCATGGTTTCAAGAACCCTAACTGAATAGCTTGGAGAATGTTTAAAGAAATTTTTGCTACCCGGTGTGATCTTGTCATGAATTTGATTCCTGTGCCTCTCTTCTTGACTTTGATGTTTGTGTCATAGCCAAGGTTGTACCAGTCACTATTCTGGACTTTTAAGAATAGATCTAGTTAATTCCCAAAGCCTTTCTTCTTTTGAATTTACTTTGCAATTACTTCAGGTGATGGTTGTATTCACCTTCTTGGTTCTTTTCAGCAATTTTACCAAAAAGATTTCTTAAATCACTGATCTTTACAAACTTCACAACAAAGGCCTTGATTGGCCTCAGTTGTCTCTGCATCTCCAGAGTCCAGAGCAGTGCCATAGCAGATACAGAGCAGATATTTATTGAATGAATGCATACATGGCAGAATATTTATATAAAACTTATGTGAATGTTTTTAATTTTATATTTGATTTTTAAAAATCACTTCACTTTAAATTTTTGAAATCTAAGAAAAAGCCAGAAATTGCATTTTTAAAAAAGATACTTGATTACACATAATCTCTTCCTCTTTTGCTTTTGCTTTCATAAAAAATAAATAAAAATACCAAGTACCTTCTTTTGTATCTTAAAACTCTTGAAATTCTATATGCCCTAGAATCTTTTTCTAAGGCTAATATTGAAAAAAAAGTCAGATTTTCCTTTTATTTTGAGGAAAGCTTGGTATTTACTGTATTTTAGGTCTAATTCTTATATAAAAGTAGCCATTTTGAGCACAGGAAGGAAAGACAAAGGCCTGACAATAAAGAAGGAAAGACAAAAGGCTGGCAATAAATAATTCAGAATCAATTGATAGATAGGTATTTAGACAGTTTGCACAATTAGACAAGCTTGGTTGGAACAAACTCATGTTATCTCTTACTGTTCAACCAACAAACAACTCAGCTAGTCTAGTACCAATATTACATGTAGGTCTTAGTTATGGTTTGCTCTTGTCTTCACTATATTTTGGTAAGTTGGTAGTACCTAGGTAGGAGGGAAGGCATAGCCGTTTAGTTTCATTTGTATTTTACCCAGGAAAGTGCATTTAAAAACATAAGATTTGGTGATGTTTTGAGTGCATGTCATATTGATTTCTGTAGCAGTGCCACAAGAGAAAAGATAACTTTTTTTCTCTTAGTTACCATTGTGTGATGTTATTAGGAACTGATGTGGCTTACTAGGTTTAGAGAAACACAAAACCATGAAAAGCTCTCCATGGAACAGACATAACGACTGAAATAATTGGCAATGAGTTATTTGAAGTTTCTAAAAAATTGTAAAAGTTTCGATACACATATATATTATTATAAAAGGACAATTTTAAACAATTTAAAATTAAAGCTTCACATACAAAGCATTGTATTGCTTATATTAATAATAGTACAAATATGAAGCAACTTGACTCCACAAACTGGAAAAATTTTTAAATAATTTATGTCAACAGCTATACTAGGTGCTTTACATACATTGTCATTTAATTTCTAGAATTAATGTGCAAGCTAAGTATAGTCAGCCCTACTGCATGACGAAGACGTTGAAATCCTGGTGGTTAAGTCATTTTTTCAAGGCCATGTCACTGATAAAACTGCTGAGTCAAAATCACACTGATCTTTTCCCTAAACCACTCAGCAGATGACTCAGCTGAGAAGAATGGAGGCTATGAAGAGACTTAAAAAGTAATGACATGGAAATATGCCAATGATAAGCCAAAAAGTTGGATATAAAATTGCACATATGTTGTAATTACAACTTAATTAAAATGTGTTTGAATAAAAAAATTAGAGTGAAATATTATAAAGATTTTAGTGCTTGTATTAGACTAGTAGAACCTGGAGTGTTTTTTTTTGTTTTTGTTTTTTTTCTAAAATGTCTTAGCTATACATAAGTTACTTTCAAATTAAAGGGTTGGTAAAATAGAGTGATTGTAGTATCAGTATAGCTCATCAATCAGAGTATCTAAAAATCTTACCGTTTTTGACATACTTCTGAAAGATTGTGTGTTTTTTTGTGTTAACTTTATTTTTAAATTCCAGATCATCAAATTATTGGATGGAAAACGATCTCAAACTGTGGGAATCTTGATATCTAGTTTGCATTTAGAAATGAAGGATATCCAGCAGGGTAAGTCTTCTCCATCACTTTTTTCCCCCTACTTTTAAAGTTTTTATTATTTTTTTGTGAAAGATGTCAAACTTATAAAAAATCAAGATGCTATAGTGAATCACATGCGCCCACTTCCTAGCTACAAAACCATCTGCTCACTCTTATTGTACCTGAAGCTTCTCTACCAACTAGATTGCTATGAAGCCCGCAGTCATAATTCATCAGTTAAAAATGTTAGTATGTGGCTGAAAGATAAGGACATTTTTTTCAAGCATAACTCTAGTGCCATTATCATGCATTCAAAAGCATTTACAATGGCTTCTCAATATCATCAAATATGTAGTTCTAATTTCTCTGATTGTAGGCTCACTAGTTATTCCTTTTGTTTACAGTTAGTTTGAGGATCCAAACAAATTTCATGCATTGCCTTTGCGGTGTCTCTCAGGTTTCTTTTAAACTAGAGGTTTCTATCATCCATCTTTTATTTTTCCTTTGTAATTATTTTTTTGAAGAGACCACGTCACTTGTCCTGTGAAGTTTCCTATAAGATTTTGCTGATTGTATTGCCATGGTTTTATTTGTCATGCCCCTGTGGTTCCTATAAACTGTTAGTTTGACCTAGAGACTTAATCTGAGTGGGGGAAGAATACTTCATGGATGCTACTGTATATTCTGTCAAGAAGTACATAATATCTGGCTGTTTCTTTATGATATTACTGGGCACTAATGATCTTTGCCTAAATTCATTATTTTATTAGAACTTTTCAAAATAATAATATACAAATTCCATCGTTTTCTCATTAGTTGGGATACTTCTATGGGGAAACACATTCCTTCATCCATTTGGTTGCATCCTTGTTTCTTAATCCCTTCTTTTTTTCAAATGATGCTATTTCAGCTTGGTTGTCTTTGGCTCAATTTGAAATGAGACATTTAAAGAGAGGAAATTTTACTTGTATATATGTTTTTTAAGTCCCTAGAAAAGTAGACTAAAAGCCATCTTATCTTTTGAAATGTCTTGCATGAAAACAATACTCCCTTTTCTCAGTAGTCAATTAAATGTAAATCTTTATTTTGATATGTTGCTGATATTTTCTGAGTGGTAATACAATCTCTTATAGATGGTTTCAGCAGAATTTAGCACGGATTTAACAGTGGAGAACCTCAAACCACACTGCCCTTCAGGTTTCAGTGCGTGTTACCTCAAAGTTATTTTTCTTTGGTACTCAGCAGAAGGCTCCCATAGATCCTGAACTAGGAGACAGTTATGATATTTTCACATACTACTTTTCCTCTCAAAGGAGCTTTGTTAAGGGCTTACAATTTAGTTTTATTGCAAACATTAAAAATTCCACATAAAACTAAAAATATCCTGAATTAGATGATAGTCACAGAGTATTCAAATAAGCTATCTATTTTTAATATTTAAGCTTAATAGTAGAATTAAATACATGAGTATAAATATTAAACCTCCAAAAATGGTTGCTGTAGCTGATTTGAATTAAGGGCAGAAGGTAGTTAAAAAGATCCACCAACAAAATTAGAAAGGGATTCTTCCATAACTTTAGGTGTTAGGTCTTTTAGAAGAATTGAGTTTGGGGTAAACTCAAACAAGGAGACTGTGATGCTGGGACAAAGGAAAAAATAAAAAATATATCAGCAGGGAACTTTATAGTTTTTTTGTCAAGGAGATTAATGTTTTTGATTCAGTCATTGACATTAGAAGCTGTTCTTCAGCTCCGGTGGCCGCGTCTTGTCCTGAACAACAGTAAGCCTGGTGAAAACCAAGCATGCTTGGTTCCATCATCATGACATATAGCACTATGGATATGAATCTTCACAATGGCAATAGCACCTTAGACTTTATTCAGTTCTTTTTAGGCATGTCTCCCTATAGTATATCAGATTGCCATGTGGGTAAAAGTCATTCCAGCCTTGTGATATTCCAGTTACCAACTTAGGGCCATAAACCTTCTTCCCATGGCATTCCAGCCTTGTTGGATTGAATGTTCATTGCGAGTTGAATAAGATAACCTTCTCCAATATTCTACTCTGAGCAAAAACGTGCTTACATAAAGCAGAAGTGAACTTACATTATAGCATTGGAAATGTCAGTTGTAGCATTATAGACTTCTAGGACTTGCGGACACCATTTTAGTTTTCTCCTGCTTTAAGCACCCCCGTAATCCACCACAGAGTTGGCTCCTGAGTTCTAAAAAATCATCTCCATTCCATGTCTTCATTTCTTAATGCATTCCAGATGAATGTGGCAATATAACCTGAGCTTAATTTTTCTTTAGACTCATTTGACTGACACTGGCATCTGAAGGTCACTTAGGAGCTGGGCTGTGTCAGTTACATTTCATTCTGAGTCCATGTCTGGTCGTGAATGGAATGCACTTGGCCTTGTGTTGTCATCCTGATGAAAGGACTCCCTGTGCTGACATTGGTCTAAAACGTTTGTTTTAATGTAGGGTGGGGTGATGGGGGGCGGTTGGCTATAGTGAGATCTGATTGGGGCAGGCCAGTTGGTAGCCAGGCAGGGTCACACAGCAAGCACATCAACCCTGATGAAATGACCACAGTTCAGTAACTGTTCTTCAGCCTTCTGGTTATGTGTTCATCTTTGTCACTGCACAAAGACAGATAGATGTACTAACTTGCACTTTTTAAACTGACAAAGAGCTGATGTATAAACCATAAAGCCAATGTGTTTACTTAGAGAATTTTTCTAAATATTGATCATTTCTGTTCATCATTACCTCCATATCATTGTCTCTATTTGGCATAATATATATTTATTTATGCTGTTTTCCTTTTAGCTGTGATTGCAGCTTGGTCACTTAGATAATAGTTTGAGGTATTTCAGCTCATAATTACCTCTCACAGATGGATAATACAGTTTTTACTAGTTCAGCTCTTAAAAAGCAACCTTGTTTTCATCATTTGTAAGGTGAGCACTTCTCCATTGTTTACTAGACACTGCCTATAATGTATATTCAAGAAGTGGAATTTGGGGGTTTTGTACCTCAAGGTCTTAATCTGCAAGTAGAGAGCCAATGTCTCTTCCTTTATGTCATGTTGCTTTTCTTCACTAAGAGTTTCTCTGATAATTAACCGTTAGTTTACAGCTAATTCAGCTAATGTGTTATATAAAAGTCATTCAGCAAATGTTTTTTTAATTTAATTTTATTTAAAAATAGACTAAACCTTAGACTAGATTAAATCTGAATGTCATGTATTTCATTCCAGTGCATTTGGACAAAACTAACCAACTTCCTATCTTCCTTCCTTCCTTTCTTCCTTTCTTCTTTCCTCTCTCAATGAACATGTTTTGAAGGCCAGCTCTGTATATATAACGCATCGTGATGACCACCACACATAAGATCCAGACACTAACATTCTTGAGTGTTCACAGAATAGTGGGAGAGATGTAAAAAGCAGCCCGAGATTACAATAGGGTTGCCTATGGAATAATAAAGCAGTATCTTTTTTGTTTTATTAAGTTTATTGGGGTAACATTGGTTAATACAATTATATAATTTTCAGGTGTACATTATATTTTGACATCTATATAGTCTATTGTGTGTTTACCACCCAAAGTCCACTTTCCTTCGGCTACCACATATTTGATCCCCTTTACCAACTTCACGCTCCCCCTACCCTTCTATATTTGACCACCTTTACCCTGTCTACCTCTTCCTTCCTCCCCCACCCTCTACCCTCTGGTAACCACTAGTCCATTGTCCATGTCCATGAGTCTCTGTTTGTCCTGTTCATTTGTTGCTTTTAGGTTTATATCACACATATAAGTGATATCATGTGATTTTCAATTTTTTCTGTCTGGCTAATTTCACTTAGCATGATTATCTCAAGGTCCATCCATGTTGTTGCAAATGGCAGTATTTCATCTCTTCTTATGGCTGAGTAATATTCCATTGTATATATGTACCACAGCTTCTTTAGCGGAAAATCTTTGCGAGGGACACTCTCTTTGTGTCTCTTT